GTGCAAGGACAAGGCCCTGAGGCACTGGGTTGTAGGAAGCCTATGGGTGGAGCTCGTGGTCCCTGGCTCCGCAGTGGAGGCAGAAGGGAGATCTACTTCCAGGAATGTATAGGGCAGAATTTCCAACATCTCCAGCCAAGAAAGCGGAGGCTGGTCGTCTGTAGTCTATAGGTTGGTGACAGAGACTTCGGTGGTGAGGCTGGGTAGGACTTCACATCCAGAAATACTGTTTAAAGGGGAAATGGCCTTGCACAGGTGGCTCACACCTGTCATCCTAGCTACTCAGGAGGCGTGACACAGATTTCCTCAGTGCTGGCCCATTGGTGTCTGTGGAAAGCAGAGAATCTGCAGGATTAATCTGCACCTAGCCAGTGTTTTGTGTGTGCTGGTATTGGGGCTTGAACCGATCCTGGACTTTCTTACTTAATCTGGCTTCGAACCTTGATCCTCAGATTTCAGCCTCCTGAGTAGCTAGGATGGCAGGCATGAACCACCAGCAGAGAGAGAGAGAATGTGTTTGTTACTGAGAATCAAACCTAGTACCTAGGCAATCACTCTACCAGTAATATATCTATATCTATTAATCTATCTAGCTATCTATAGTGAGATAGATATAGATATACGTATATTTTCAGTTCCAGGGAAGGGAATTTTTTAATGCTTGGGTCCCATCCTAGCCTGATTACAGCAAAATCTGAGAGGATGCTAGATATCCATAGTTCTTCAAGCTGTACAGATGATTTTTTTTTTTTTTTTTGGTTGGTCCTGGGGCCTGAACTCAGGGCCTGGGCTCTGTCCCTCAGCTCTTCAGCTCAAGGCTAGCACTCTACCACTTAAGTCACAGCACCACTTCCAGTTTTCTTGTGGTTAATTGGAAATAAGAGTCTCCCAGGGTTTCCTGCCCAGGCTGGCTTTGAACCGCGATCCTCAGATCGCAGCCTCCTAAATAGCTAGGATGACAGGCGAGAGCCACTGGTGCCCGGCTCCAGATGATTTTAAGATACAGCCGAGGTTGAGAGTCTGCTTGAACAATCATGAGAAGACTGACACAGGGAGGAGGGCCTCCGGGTCTTGGGACCCTGTCCCCAGTCTTCACAGAGCACTCCTTCTGTATAACTTAGACGCTATGAGGAGGACTTGGCGGTTATGGGGTTCCTTCTCTGGTATTGCTCTGATAGTAGGGTGTCTTTGGAGAGATTCTGGTGGAAATCCTGGGTGGATCGTTGCAGACTTTTTCACATGTGGCACTCCACCGCCACATGGCTCCTTGGTGGCTCTAGGCCCTGGGCCCAGCCCGTCAGCCGAATGTGGCTACATATAGACTTCGCCACCAGAACCAACTGGCTTCCTCAAAATGCATGGGGCCCTCCAGGCTCTGAAGAAACCCCCACTGGTCACCCAGCACAGAGGTTGTGAGGCCCGTCTGCCCCATTAGTAATAGGAGCTGAGCAGTTCACTGAGTTCCGTACGTGTGATATTCTAAAGACAGCAGTGTTGAAGAACACAAATTGTCTTCTGTCCTTGTTACCGTCAGTGTCTGATTTGGGCAAAAGTCAGTTGTGCTCTGTCAGTGCCTGGTGTTCTTCCCCGTCCCCTCCCAAGCTGCTGCTTTACCTTTGGCTTCTGATATTTTTGGCTTTGGCTGGCAGGCCAGCAGGGCTGCAAGAGAAGTAAGCCTGAAACTTCCTTTTTTAACAGCTCAACTGTGGAAAATGATCATTTGTGGTGTTTTGGTTTGGTTTGGTTGTTTGGGTTTGCTTTGCCAGCACTATGGCTTGAACTAGGGCTTTGCGCTTTTGCTTAGCTTTTTCACTCAAGGCTGGCACTCTCCCACTTGAGCCGTAGCTTCATTTCCAGCTTTTTAGTGGTAATTGTAGATAAGAGTCTTACAGACTTACCTGCCAGGACTGGCTTCAAACCGAGATCCTCAGATCTAAGCCTCCTGAGTAGCTAGGATTACAGGCATGAGCACCTGCTTTGTTCCTTTGCTTTCTTAAAAAAAAGTTATTTGTAATGTTAAGTTTATATATATACATACTTGCATATATGTCTGTATTTACATGTGAACTTTGAAAGTTACGTTTTTTTGTAAAAAATGTCAGCAGTGTTAACAAGAATCTGAACGAAAGTGACGTCTTGTCCCCTCCCATCCCGCCCATCTCGAGTCTGTCAGTCACTGGTGCTGTGCACATCAGATCCTCCTACTTCCTTTTTCTTTGCAGATGTTTACCAAAATAAAAGCATTTGTGCAACATGTGATTATAATATTTTATGGGAGCAATTTTGATTCATACATATTCATCCTCCTTTTTAGCCCCTGCCTGAGGTGCTTTCTATAGATCGACTTAATTTGTTTAACAAATGATCTATTTCTAGGCAATTGGTTCTTTCTTTCTTTCTTTTTTAAACACCAGAAAGTATTTTTTTTTTTTTTGGTTGGTCATGGGGCCTGAACTCTGGGTCTGGGCGCTGTCCCTCAGCTCTTCAGCTCAAGGCAAGCGCTCTACCGCTTGAGCCACAGCACCACTTCCAACAACTGGTTGTTTCTGATTTTAGCTACTACAGAAGATGATGTCACAAACCCTCACCAATCCTGGTTCTAACATCTCTGTATGTCTGTGTATGCTATGTACCTAAAAGTGAAATTGCTACATTGAAGTAGCAAAGCCAAATATTTCTTACATAATAACTGGTCAATGATGACTTTTATGAAAATGAGATTCTGATAGTCTTGAAAAACTTACATTACTTCTCTTTCCATAATCTAAGCAGCCCACCCTGGTTCCCCCGCTGAATTTATTGTGAATTTCTATTATAGTTTTGGGGGGGTTTGTATGATCAGTACTGGGATTTGAACTCAAAGCAGGCTCTCTACCACTTGATCCATGCTCTCAACCCCTTAAGTTTATGAGAAAATTAAAATTTATAGTGCAGCACATTCAGAAAGACGATTTATTATTTTGAGGTTTGTTAAATGTGAAAAGACAACATATAAAATCCAACTTTCTTCTTGTTGTGTGTGATATGTGTGCTGGTCCTGGGGCTTGAACTTGGGGCCTGAGTGCTGTCCTTGAGCTTTTTTGCTCAAGGCTAGCTCTCTGCCATTTGAGCCACAGCTCCACTTCTGGAGATGAGAATCTCATGCGGACTTTTCTGCCCAAGCTGGTTTTGAACCGTGATCTCAGCCTGCTGAGTAGCTAGGATTACAGGCATCAGCCACCAGCACCCAGCCCTTTAGCTTTCTTGCTCAAAGCTAGAGCTCTACCACTTTAGTCACAGCTCCACTTCCAGCTTTTCAGTGGAGGTAACAGGTTGACAGACCTTCCTGCCTTGGCTGGCCTCAACCCTCCACCTTCAGGTATGATTCCTGGGTGGGTGCCGCAGGGCACCCTGGGCCTCACAATCTGCAGTCCCTGTGGGTAGGAGGAGTCTGCCCTCTGAGCAGATTTGGTGAGGATGGCAGATGGGAAAAGGGGAGTTTCCTGAAGAATCTGGCCTCCTACTCTGGGTCTGTTTGTCTGGGCCTTGTCTCTGGCTCTCTGGGGATTTGGGGATTCTCTACTTAGTATTCTGAGCTCTAGGTGGGATTTGTTCAGACTTGGAATGAAGCATGTGATCATCCAATCCAAAGACATCTTGTTGTGACTGTCAGCCTTTATTTATATCCGGTCCTTTTCCTTGTTTGTGACAATCAGCAAACACACACCAGCTCCCAGGACTTCAAAGGGAGATGAGTGCACTCTGTTTAATCCATAACCTCCCTCCAGCTGGCTGAAGCATCTAACAGGGTGGGAAAAAGCGTCAGAGAGGAAAAAGAGAGAGCGGCCTCTCAAGCAGCCTCACTTGGAGATTCTGGTACTACAGAGACAGAGCCAAGAGAGCCTCCGGTCCCAGGTTCCCCTTCCCTGAATTTGGGGCAGCCAAGATTCCTGGAACAGAGTACAGAGAAATGGGGGAAAGTACACACACCACTTGAGGTTCAGACTGCCAGTTCATTGCAGGAAGAAAGCAGGTGATGAGAGAGGCGTTGCGAATGGAAGAGTCCCAGGAGACAAGTCCTTGTGTTCCTTCCCCTCGCCTCTGAAATCTGGCTTTCATCCCTAACCATCTGCTGAAACTTATTCCTGATAAATATAATGGCTGGTGCTTCTTGGCCTTACTAATACATCTGACCTTTCTTTCATGAAATGAAGTCAAGGTGGATACAAAACTAATGTTAGGCTGGGTATGGTGGTATGCACCTGTAATCACAGCTACTCAAGAGGTGTTCAGTAGGGGGGATCGCTGTCACAGGTGGCCCTCGGCAAAAGCATCAGATCCTATCTGAAATAAAGCAGAAAAAGCTGGAGGTATGGCTCAGACGGTAGGGCACCTGCCACCGAGCATGAGACCCACCAAGAAGTTTTTAAAAGCCAACAAATGGAAGCGCACCGATACGTTTGTGCCACTTGTCAAAATGTCAAAATGCCATTGCTTGATGATCCTTCTACTTGTTAAATGAGTGTATAGATTAGCTTCGAATCCATCGGTGCTGGGTCAGATTAGCTAAATGAGGCCATAAGTAAAAGCTCATTCCTCAGACCTCAAAATTTAGCTAAACCCAGCTCTGGTGGTTCACGCCTGTAATCCTAGCTACACTGGAGGCTAAGATCTGAAGATCCAGGTTTGGAGCAAACCACCAGGCAAATTCTGAGATTTTATTCTCCAATGAGCCAGCAACAAGGTAAAAGCGGGTGTGTGGTTCAAGTGGCAGAGCACCAGCCACAAACAGACGAAGCCTAGCGAGACCCTGAGTTCAAGCCTCAGCATATGCACCAATCAAAACAAAGCTCCCCAAAATGAACACATTCCCAGGTGCTGAACAACTTGAGAGTACTCAGCACCAAGTCCAGCTAGTAAACAAAGGCCCCATTTGGGGCCTCCTCTAAGAAGCAGGAGGACAGCCAGCTCTGCAGGGGCCCCAAGAGAGCCGGCTACGCCCAGGAAAGCGGTGGTCCCACCTGCCTTGCCGCCGGCAAGGCTGAGGGCATCCCTGCCCAGGTTACCCCCACAGCGGCTGCCGCAGGGCGGGTCAGCCCCGGGGATACCTTCAGAGCCAACTTTCACAGATCCTGCTGCCACCCAGCCATCTCTCCGAGAGAGCTGATTCATTCTTCGTGGTGGTGGAGGTGGAGCCCGCTCCTTGAACATGCCAGATGGGTGTCCTCCTCAACGATCTGAACTCCTGGCCCTGTTTGAGAACGTGTTAAAGTTTTAAATACATTAAAAATAAGTGAGTTTGAGTAAGCAGCCCTTTGGTGTTTGGGACACCCTGTTATTATTATCATCAATGCAGGATCTTGTTTGTTTTCTTTTTTTTATAAAATTTTTTTGGGGTGGGGTCGGTTATGGGCTTGAACTCAAGGCCCGGGCGATGTCCCTGAGCTTCTTTCTTTGCTCAAGGCTAGCGCTCTACCACTTTGAGCCACAGTGCCACGTCCGGTTTTCTGGTTGTTAATTGGAGCTAAGAAGCTCAGGGACTTTTCAGCCCAGGCTGGCTTTGAGCTGCAATCCTCAGATCTCAGCCTCCTGCATAGCTAGGATTACAGGCGTGAGCCACCATGCCCAGCTTGTTTATGAATTGTTTAAAAAATATTTTAATATTTTTTGATTATCGTAAAGGTGATGTGCAGAGGGGTTCCAATTACACAGGTCGGGGACAGTGTCCCCCCTTCCCTTGCTTTCTCCCAGTTTTTCCCTCCCATCCCCTCACAGAAGTTGTATAGTCATTCTCAACATAGTGTCTAGTGAGTAGCACTGCTGTATTTGTTCACCCTTTGTCCCACCATTTCTGTGTCCTCCGCTTATTCTCCCAAAGACAGATAAACAAGACAAAAGAAAAGAAAACAAAAACAGTAATGAAGGGGGAAAAAAACCCTCTTGTTTCCATTTCCTGGAGTTCATTTTGATAAATACTATTTTATATGATGAGGCATTGTGGCTTTGTGCTCCTCCTGGTGCTGGGAAGATGGTTCAGTGGTAGAGCGCTTGCCTTGCATACATGAGGCCCTGGGTTTGATTCCTCAGCACCACATAAGCAAAAAGAAAAAAGCCAGAAGTGGTGCTGTGGGTCAAGTGGTAGAGTGCTAGATCTGGCTTCTGCGTATGAGAGAACGCATGCTCCATTTGTACCTGCATCATTAGTTTTAGGTCCATTCATTTTTCTTAGTGCAGGAACTTGTCCCATTACTCATGTTACTTGGTAAGGTCAGCGGAGACGTTCACTGCACCTGTCACGGCACAGCTTTCCTGGTACGATCTCACTGCATCCTTGTTTGTTTTTTGTTTTTGTTGATCATGGGGCTTGAACTCTGAGCCT